TTCTTTACAGCTTTATTAAGATACATCGGCATATGCATTTCCACTAAAAAAAATTGGTGGAAAAATCTTGGTAACTATGACAACGGCGGCCATCTTGAAGTTTTACCAGGAAACATGTCAGGACTATTACTATTATATGTTATTTGAAAATTGCATTTAATATATTAAAATAATGTAACAAGCAGTTGCAATACTTTTTGAAACGAAACCCAAACAACTCCTCTCTGACAGTTTTTTTTTTTACAATTTACAACATGCCAGGATTGTTCTATGTTGAATGGGTATTTGGCTCTAACTCATGTGAATAAAATAATTTGAATGAGTTCATTAAGATTGCATTTACTTCACAAATTTATTAATTCCAAACAACTTATCTCTGCCAGTTATTTATAACATGTCAGGATTATTATATGTTGAATGGTGAATTATTTGTAAATTACATAGAGTTAATAAATACCAAACAACTTATCTCTGCCAGTTATTTATAACATGTCAGGATTATTATATGTTGAATGGTGAATTATTTGTAAATTATATGAGTTAATATGAACGAGCCTTCAAAATTTGTATAGAGCATTGACTATTACAAAGCAATTTCCAAACAATTTATCTCTGACAGTTTTAGTATGTTGGGATATATTTAGGTTGAATGATGAGCTATTGTTTAACAACTGAGTACATTTATGCAAAAGAAATTATGCTATGGCCACTTTTTGTATGTTTTGTCATTAGTTACTTTTTTACTAATAGGATATAGTCACCAAGAAACATTAGGAATAAATTACATTACATCAAAAGTTTACATTATGTACAAACTTTACAATATGTGTATGTATATACAATTATTTATTTACAAACTGATGTGAGATTTTCACAGGGGTGCCATATAACATGGATATCAAAGCAACACTTGGAGTTTGTCAGTCAACAAAACGTAAGTCACCTAACAGTAAATCTGTCACAGTTGCTGTCATTGTCATGTCATAATCATCGCTGTCCGTTTCTAACTCGTCTAGTCTCCAGTAGGAAATGGTGCAACTAACAACCCCCCCCCTTCCTCAAAGAACCCCACAACCTTCCCATTATAAACTGTATCCACCCCCTTGTCTGTCCACACATGTCTCACTAACTCTCCCAAATAAGCCCCTGACAACTCAGAGGCAGGATCACCTGAGATCAATAGCTTTTCAATAAAAACCTTGACCTCACTGGAAGCTGAAGAAAATACTTCAGCATTCAGAGTCTTAGCAGCAAGAGCAATCTTAACCTTGGATTCCAGCTCCTTACACTGAGATTGCTCATGCTGCTTTTGAAGCTCCAATTGCCGACGTATCTTCACAGCTTCCAGGATCATTTTCCTCTGAGCAGCCTCCTCCCTAGCCCTGTACCCTTCTCTAACAGCAAACCTCACTAACCTATCCTGCTCCTTGTGTCCCAAAACCCAAGTCACTGTGTCATTTGTCCGTCCTCTTATCTTCCCACTAATGAAGTCAAATGTCGAGTTGGGGGCACGTCTCCAGAAATAGTCTGTAATGCCCAAGATTCGCTCAGATGCCATGTTATGGGATGGAGCAGATGAAGCTTGGTTCATCTGCTGGGGAGTGGGGTTTGACAGATCACCACTGAAGAATCGAGCAAGCTGGCGGTCAAACACCTGGACGACTTCCTTCAAGACATGTTTTAGAGTATCTATTACTTTACCCTTGTGGGCTTCACCAGTCTTAAGGAGAGCTGCCAGGACTTGGTCTGAGTCGGTACTCAAGGACTCACTAAAAACATTAACTATAGCTAGGGGGCTTAGCAACTCTTCAGGCTGTCTGGCAAATCTGTCCAAAGTTGGTTTGCAGCTTTGGATCACTGAACACATTTCTAAATTCCTGGTGTTTGAGTAGAATTTTGTCATCCATGGTCCAGTGGTGACTTTGCCAATGAGCCCAAGTGCAATGAGTTGAGCAAAGATGCAAGGGTCTCCTAGGTCACTTCTGAGCTGCTTGTTTAAAGATAAGTTTCCTACTCTAACATAATCTTTTAACTCCTCCAGATGTAAAACAATAATTCCTGCTGAGTGGAACAAGACATTTAGCCGGTTACCCACATACCGGACAAATATCCCAACTGGAATATTTCTGCTCTTAAAAAATGTCTTGAATCCACTGGGGTCACCACTACCTTGGCTGTATCTAAGCTTAGATACTCCAAAGATGCATCCAAGCGTTCTTTTGCCTATCTCACTATCAACCACCAGCAAAGCTCTTCTTGCTCCAGCAGCAAATCCATCAAGGATGTGGACATTACAGTTAAGCTCCAATAGCTGCCTGTCAAACAAAGCGTTGAGATGTGTTACAACACAATGATTGACACGAGCTCTATCTGTTAATGTGGACTTGATTGATGATACTAGTGATTTGTAAAAAAAAATCCTTATTTGATTCAAAATTTGAAAATTTATAATGTAAATCAACTAAGTATTTTAATTTATCACTAATATGATCAAAATAGTCCACGGCCTTACCACCTGGTATAGATCTCACATCTAGGGCCAAAGTTTTATCTGGAGCAGAAGTAATGTGGACTTCATTAACATGATGGCTGTCAAGTGAGGTTGCATCCCAGGACAACGAGATGTTCTCCTGGGATGCAAGTGCCTCAGCAATCTGCAGATCCGCCAAAATACCTAACTCGTAGGACATTTGGGCAACTGTAGATTGCTGAGGCACGCAATCAAGTTTCAGTCGGCCTCCTGCTCCAGATAAAACTGTAGCAGCTGAATAGCAGCTGCTACAGAGACATTACGAATCAAAGGCTGATACATGCACAACCTCGTTTTTGTATTGTAAGTTTTGCCCTCTTTTAAACTGATTGTTTCTTTCTCATTTTGTGACTCCTCAATTTGACACATCAGATGATCCAGACTTAATTTCAATGTGCTTATTTCATTCTTCAAATCATTGATCTCTTTATTTTTTAATTTGATTGATTCATTTAATTCAATTATCTTGGATGATTTTTTTGTTTTTAACAGCTGTGGCATATTTCAGTTTACTTTTGATGATTTGAATTTGTATTGATGATGTTGATGGTTCCATAATATTTTTGTTTTGTTTTTTCAATTCATTGTTGTCTTTTTTCAGTTGAACAATTGTGACATCTTTATTTCTTATTTGATCATTTTTTCTTTTGATTGTGTGATTCAATCTTTTTATTTCACATATTTTGTATTTTTCAAATTCAGATTTGTAATTTTTTATTGATAATTTTAACCTTTTATTGGTGATAATCAATTGATTAGTGGATCTTCTTTTAAGAGCACATTTGGTGCAATCTCTCCTTAATTCTTTAGATGTAGTTGGAGATGTTTCATCCACTTGCTGTTTCAGAGTTGATATTACCTTTAAGAGAGAGATCTTGCATTATTGTGATGTATAGTATTTATTTTCTACTTTTTAGTTCAATCAGAAAACGTGGGTTTTTTTTAAACTTTTTTAATGATTATTATTTTCTACTTTTTAGCCTTTGTCTGTTTGTTTGCATTGAAATCTTGCCACCGATTTTATCTTTTCACTTTTTTTTGGGTAAACGAAGACAACTCGTAAAAACACAACTCGTAAAAAACGAGAGACCCTTTCTTCTTCGGTCTCAATCGCAAGTGAATGATTGTCAGAGGTTAGTTGATAGCGGTTAGGACGAGGGCTGGTTACTGACTAGAACACATAGATTTGAACCCGTGTCGAGTGGGATAGAAATCGTGTGCCCAACCACTCGACCATATCGTCTCCCCCAAACTGGCCACCAGTGGTAATAGTTACCTCCTGTAAGTTTAAAGTCGGTTCAAACTAAATTATCTGCCCCTAAGCCTGTCGCGACGTGGGATCGTTCGCTTCACTGCGCGCGGCAAGAGAGAGGCGAGCTACGCGTCGCTCGTTTTTTTTCTAATGGCTCGCAGAGGAGAATTATATATATAGATTATATAGCGGTCTAAAATGCTCAATAAAATGTTTCCATTGATCAATTTAGTAATAATAACAATTGAATATTCTATGGTCATCCAAAAGAAAGCTTCCCTGAAAATTTCAGCGCGCTAGCTAACTGGGAAGTGCCAGAAATTTCGATCGCAAGATTTGATTGGAAAGACAAACAGAGAAAGCAAGCTAAAGAAAACGTGGGAAAATAAAACAACTAAATAGCCGCGTATGATACGCTGCGGGTCGGCTCGTTATGTTTAAAGCTGAAATTGGAATTCTCCGAGCAAGTTTAAACTTAGAAATCTTTTTTTTTAAATTTTTTAAATAAAATATAATTAGTAAAAGGAAAAGAAGGAAAATATGTAAGGGATTCTAAGTGATGTCGTACTTCTAGCTTGAGGGGTGGGCCGGTGGGGAAATCCTAATTTGATGTTGACGATTTGTAAAATATTACACTTAAAATATCTGTTGGTGTTGTGTTAGGGTAAGGGTTAGGTTACTAATGGTTTTGATTATAAGCATTGTTTAGTAAATTTTAAGTATGGGTTGGTTTTGCTTTCAACATTGTATAAGGGGGTCGTCCATAAATGACGTCACACTCCAAGGGTGTTATGAGGCAGTTGAAGGTTAGATAGAAATAGGTTAGAATGGTCTAGAATTAGGGGAGAGTGCGTGTGTGAGTTAAGTTTACCCTAGAGTATTGTTAACCCCGGTGTGTTTATATATTATTATCCCAAGGCGGTCAAGGTCGAATGCGGTATAAAAGCTGGAGCGAACGGTTGTAAAGAGTTAGTTGGTGGCGGTTAGGGCGAGGGCTACTCTGTTATGTGAAGAATTGAGTCCAAATAAAAGTATTGAAGTTAACAACGAATCGTTTCCTGAGTTGAACTAAACCCGGACGCAACAGAGGGGGGGGGGGGGGGGGGGTCCGTAATGATGAGGGGGAGGGGGGGGGTTCAGATGGTTTGACGTGACTATAAAAAAGCAATTGTAGAAAACGAGTTTTAGCCGTTATTTCGCCTTTTAGAAAACGGTTTAAATAAATTGTAATAGGAATTGATAAAAATGCTCTATGTTAAAAGAGTTCAAGTCTAAACGTTGTTATGTTTGTCCATGTGTCTGTCTTTTTTCTGTCTCCATGTTGAGAGAACATGAAGATTAAAGCTTTGAAAGTAGTAAAAATTTAAATAAAGTGCTTTGGTCTAAGGCTCAATACCATAGCTAGATCGGGTGTCACCCAAATAACGATGTGTATCTTTAGTCTGTTAATAATACAGTTGGAACTTGCATAATATTATTTTTGTTTCATCACAAATGCATTTAGTGCATCTCTACATCTGATCAGGTCAAAAAACATAAGAACTATAATTTATATACCCTATGGGTTGCTAGGCTTGAAGAAAAATATGTACTACTTTGTTTTTACCTTAGCACTTTGAAACCATTTATAATTCATTAAATGTGTGATCAATATGATTAAGCTTCTTTTAAGTATATTAAATAGACTCTAGTTCTTTTTCATTTAACTTTTTTTGAAAATAAGTATCAATTCGTTTTAACAATATTTAAACAGTATTTAACTACAGGCCGTAAACTGACGCGTATGATTTGTAGTCAACAGACCTGTTTTATTTTCCGGCCCAAAACCCTTGTTGAGTGTTCATTTGGCCTGGTTGTAATAAATTGTTTTATTCTGTAAACTAACCTCAAAGAGTGTAGCCTAGTCATCGGACTTTCATGCTATTATAAAGCAAACTAAGTGTTGTTATGGTAATGGTATAAACTTATATAATAGTTATAGTCTGGATTGTGCACTTTTTGTAGTCTGTTTATAGAAATTTTTGACAAAACCATCATTTTTTTGAGAAAACAACTCAAGACTGCAGGATAGTCATTCATTTATTTTTTATTTTACTTCTTGTTGAAAAAAAAAATTGTAAAATAAGCGTTTGAAATTTGAAATGTTTCCCTAACAAGCATAAGTTGTCTGACACTGACCTTCACATACAGGCTTTGGAGCATCACAAGAGAGAAAAACATACCCCAGCATTCAAAACACATTGACCTCATTGGAATTTAAACAGGAAGTGTTGATAGAAATACAATAACAATAAAAAAATCAATTTAGTTATTTTATTTTAAAAACTTTTCATGTTATAATTTCTTATGAATCACTACATTAGAAATTTCATTAGGCTCTACAATGTTTGTTTTTTAAATAGTAAACAATACAAAATTAATTAATGATTAACCAATAATCACGGTATGTTGAAACTAAGATACCAAAATGTAACAATTGCAGCTTAAGTCTTTCTTTTCTTTAAATTGATAATTTTTATGCTGTTTTAAAAAATGTAAATGTTTATTCATAAAATTGTTATGTGTGGTTAATATCTAAATTCTATAGCAATTATATGAATATGTGAAGATAATTATGTTATACTCTTTTTAAACACATTGCATGTAGAGAGGTGTCTGAGGTTTGGCATCAAGTTCATTTGAGAAGGAGTGCAGAATGATAAAATCTATAGGCCTATACAACAAGTTACAAATGCATTTAATTTAATAAAAAAACATTCATCTAGCAAAAGTAAGGAAGTGACCATAAGACTTAGCAATGGTTGGAGCAACTTTAAACTTGAGGTTAGTTCCATAAGACATATAAATGATGGGAGGAAGGGATCCTAAATGGGATGAATAAAATAATGTCAAACAATGCAAGTAGAAGTTTTAAATTTATTTTTAATTTATCCAGGTACTAAATTACCATTTAAATTTCAATCTGAATTCAATTTACAATAAAATTTGCATTAGTGATGACAATACATACATCTCAAGGACAAATATAGGAAAAAAAAATTTTTGGGGCAGTAAGTTTTTACATATGGTCTGTATGAGTTATACATTGCAGACAGTAGAGTTTGATCATATGATTTAAGATTCTATACCTCTCAATATGATTAAGGTCATTTAGCAAAAGATGAAAAAGTGTTTATGAAAAAAGATTGTCTGCTCAGAAGTTTTGATGTCACTGTACCTGTTGGCCAGATGCCACTGTGACTGCTGGCCTGATGTCATTGTACTTGTCTAATGGAGGTTGTTTTACCTGTCAACCTGATATTCTGTCATGTTCCTGTATGTCTGAGGGAGCTGTTTGTGAATAGTGTAAATGTGTAAAGTTAAGAATTAGGATTGTGTAACAGTAGGGCCTACATCTATTGTAAACATCTAGTAAATGTAAATAAATGAATTGAACTTTGTGTTTTATTTTAGTTAGCTTCTGTTATTGTTAATAATGTAAACAAAACCATACGGGTATAAAAATAAAACCCTGGGTTTCTAAAAGTTATAGCTTACTTCTCCTATCATACACATTTACAGATAACACCCATAAAAAGTAGGCTACATAAAGAAAAAAATTGTACACATGCAGCTGACATAATAAAATGCTATTTCCTTTTACAGTCAGAATACAATTTTTTTTAGAGTATGTATAATAATTGACATGGTATACTCTTTGACAAAAGAACCTTTTTATAATACAAATATAAAAATTAATAAACTATGCACCACTATTGGATGACCACTAGTTAAAATTATGTGAAGAAAAAATTATAACAAGATATTCAATAATAATTTGCTCTAGAATTAATTATTGATGTTAAAAATGATATTAAATTGGTTTTTAGTCATGATGAATTTCCTGGATTACCTTTAGAATGAATTTTTATGAGTATTTAAATTAGATAATTGACAAAATCTTTTGTGACAAACATCAACATTCATGTGGCTTATCTCCTGAATGAACTTTGAGAAAATCTCTGACAAATACCAGATTAATGTGGTTTGTCTCTTGAATGACTTTTCAAGGGCACTTAAATAGGAACTTTGAGAAAATCTTTCATACAGCCATATGGCTTATAACCTGTAAAAACACAAAAATCATAACACATTATACTTCCGAGTCAACTTTTTGTGATAAATATCACTATCATGTGGTCTCTCTCTTTAATGAATTTTTTTTGTGTGAAGATAAACAAGAAATTTGAGAAAACCTTGGATGTCAAACGTCACATGGTCTTTCTCCTGAATGAACCTTTTTATGTCTTAATAAACTAGAACTGCAAGAAAACCTTTTATGACAAACATCGCATTCATGTAGCCTTTCTCCTGAATGAACCTTTTTATGTGATTTTAAATTAGAATTTGTAGAAAACCTTTTATGACAAACATCACATTCATGTGGCCTTTCTCCTGAATGAACCTTTTTATGGGTTTTCAAAGTAGAACTTTGAGAAAACCTTTTATGACAAACATCACATTCATGTGGCTTATCTCCTGAATGAAGCTTTTTATGTGCTCTTAAATTAGATTTTAGAGAAAACCTTTTATGACAAACATCACATTCATATGGCTTTACTCCTGTATGCATTTTTTTGTGATCACTTAAGCCAGAACTTCGAGTAAACCTTTTAAGACAAACATCACATTCATGTGACTTACCTCCTGAATGAACCTTTTTATGTTTTCTTAAATTAGTACTTTGAGAAAACCTTTTATGACAAACATCGCATTCATATGGCCTTTCTCCAGAATGAACATTTTTATGACTTAATAAATTAGTAATTTTAGAAAACTTTTTATGACAAACATCACATTCATGTGGCCTTTCTCCTGAATGAATTTTTTTATGTGTTCTTAAATTAGAATCTTGAGAAAACTTTTTATGACAAACTTCACATTCATGTGGCCTTTCTCCTGAATGAACCTTTTTGTGTGTTCTTAAATAAGTACTTTTAGAAAACCTTTTATGACATACATCACATTCATGTGGCCTTTCTTCTGAATGAACCTTTTTATGTATTCTTAAATAAGTACTTTGAGAAAACCTTTTATGACAAACATCACATTCATATGGCCTTTCTCCTGAATGAACATTTTTATGTATTCTTAACGTAGAACTTAGAGAAAACCTTTTATGACATACATCACATTCATGTGGCCTTTCTTCTGAATGAACCTTTTTATGTATTCTTAAATAAGTACTTTGAGAAAACCTTTTATGACAAACATCACATTCATGTGGCCTTTCTTTTGAATGAAACTTTTTATGAAAGCTTAAATAAGTACTTCGAGAAAACCTTTTATGACAAACATCACATTCATGTGGCCTTTCTTCTGAATGAATCTTTTTATGTTTTCTTAAATAAGTACTTTGAGAATACTTTTTATTACAAACATCACATTCATATGGCCTTTCTTCTGAATGAACCTTTTTATGTTTTCTTAAATTAGTACTTTGAGAAAACCTTTTATGACAAACATCACATTCATGTGGCTTTTCTTCTGAATGAACCTTTTTATGTGCTCTTAAATTAAAACTTTGAGAAAACCTTTTATGACAAACATCACATTCATGTAGCCTTTCTCCTGAATGAACCTTTTTATGTGATTTTAAATTAGAATTTCTAGAAAACCTTTTATGACAAACATCACATTCATGTGGCCTTTCTCCTGAATGAACCTTTTTATGGGTTTTCAAAGTAGAACTTTGAGAAAACCTTTCATGACAAACATCACATTCATGTGGCCTTTCTCCTGAATGAATTTTTTTATGTGCTCTTAAATTAGATTTTAGAGAAAACCTTTTATGACAAACATCACATTCATATGGCTTTACTCCTGTATGCATATTTTTGTGATCACTTAAGCCAGAACTTCGAGTAAACCTTTTATGACAAACATCACATTCATGTGACTTAACTCCTGAATGAACCTTTTTATGTTTTCTTAAATTAGTACTTTGAGAAAACCTTTTATGACAAACATCGCATTCATGTTGCCTTTCTCCAGACTGAACATTTTTGTGAGTTGATAAATTTATCTTCTCACCGTCTTGATCTGTTTTATGTTTTTTTAAGTTAGAACTTTGATAAAGCATTTTGTGTTTGTGACTAGAAACAATTTGATATCTTTTGTCTCTAGAAAACTGGAGATTTTCTTCAACTTGAAGTTCAAGCCTTTTTTGTGTTTTATCCTCAAAAAATAAAAATCCTGTCAATAATTCTGGTTTTGAATCTTTACAACTTGATAAAGTTGTGACTTCTGATTTGTTATCTTCAGATGTTGATAATGTTGATACAGCAGGCTTTTTATCTTTACAAATTAAAAACTCAGTTGTAACATCAGGTTTAACATCTTGCAAGCCTATAAATGTTTTGTAGGGTGTAAATTTATCAAAAGATGAAAAACTTGAAAACTCTGTTTCTGTGTCTTTAGAAGATGAAAATTCTGTTGTAGTATATGGTTTAACATCTTGAGAAGCTGTGAATGCCAAGTTGGGTTTTGCATCAACCATAGATGAAAATGTTGAAAATTCTGTTTTTATATCTTGAGAAGATGAAAATATTGTTGATAGATCTGGTTTCAAATCTTCAGAGTTTAAAAATTCTGTTAATTTGTGTGACTGTTCATCTACAATAGACAACATTGCAGCTAAATGCTCTGTTTCCTCTTCCATTCTTGACTGCTTTTTCATAAATCAACTGATGATTAAAAATGTTATAAATGTTAAATTGAAAAGTGGTGATTATAAAGTCAGAATAAAGTATTAATATAAAAATGGCAAAATTAATGGCAGAAGGTCTGTTAATCTTTTCTCTCAGTCTGATGTGATCTAAAAATAGATTGCCAGTAATGCCAAGGTCATAAGATTAGGACTGCATATTAATATTTTCTAAATATTCTTTAAAAAAACACAAATTTGTAATCCAGTACTGCTTATTTTGGCTAACGATTGAGGAATTACCAAATGTGCTTAGATCCTCTTACATCCAGTTGAGGTTAAATATATATTGTCACTTGGTTGAGAGAAATAAGAACAGTGTTTATTTCTTTGAAAGGATGAGAGAAGATATTGCATATTTCTTCGAACATAAGACTTAAATCGAAGATGAAAAACAATGACATTTTTAATGTCAAAAGATACTTATTTCATTAATTAAGCTAAAATTCTTAATATTTGTATTGAAAAAAAAATTAATATTTTCTTATACTATTTCTAGCCCTGACCTTTTAACCAAGCCTTAACCCAAACCTTGACCCTAAACTTAATTAAGATATAATGAATTAAAAAAATAAAATATTAATGTCATTAGCACTAATAAATAAATAAACTCAATTAAAATAAGTTTTAATTGCAAAACCCATACTTGATATTTCTTCACACTAGTGATTCTACCATGCAGCACTCAAAATAATTAGTAAAAAAAAATAATAAAATATTAAATTAAACAAACTTCTCTTGAAAATTCAAAAATATACACTTCAATTAAAAAATTCTAAAAATATGTAAGCCTACAAATAGAAACAAAATATAACCACAAGATATGAGAGGATATATGAATGATGCATTTTCACTATTGTTGCTTATAGTTACAGCCTCTAGATCTATTCTTGGTCTAGTAAGTTACAAACTGAGGCATGACCACGTGACACAAAGGAAAGTCCATTAAATTATAATATAAAAACAAATTAAAACAAAAAATTCAAATTAAATAAGTCTAGGTCTATAAATCTAGATATTACGAGATAATAGTTTATTAATAGTAAATTCAGATCTTATTGAATGAAGGGGGAATTTATATAGGCCTATCAGTGTCCGATAATAAAATTTTCTTTAACAGGGGGTGTTAGGTTACTGGTAGTAGGCATTTTGATGAAAATTTCAAATGATTTATTTTTTTTATAAAAAATGTAACAATAGTAGCTAGCACACTAGTAAACTAAGCCAATTTAGCAATATTTTAACTTTCTGTGCAAAGTCATTATTACTGAAAAAAATTCCAGTCAGGTCAGCCTGTGTCACCCTCCACTGAACTTGACTGAAAAATAAAATACTTGACCTGTGACCTTCATTAAAACAGAATTTACTGATGTTTTTTTTTTATTAGTATTAAAAATGTGCTTAATCTTACCCAAATAAGTAATAAAAATTAGAACATTTATTTTAATTACTATTGTTAATTTAGATAAACATTTAATAAATCACGAGTTTTTTTAAGGGGGTATGGCACATTGCAATTGGAACTTTATATTTCTGTGTTTTATGACTATGTTTATTATTTATACACAATCAGCATGCTATGCTTTTGAAAATTGATAAAGGGGAAGTATACCAAGTTACAAAATATGCAACCTAACTAATAATTCATAATTTTAGTTTAAAAAATAATAAAAACGATCATCAATGAAGAAAGCGTAAACATTCAATTTTTAGGTATGATAAAAAACAGACATAAATCTAGATATAAATCAGACATAAAACTATCTTGCGCAGCACACATTTTCCGGCGCCTTGTTTTCACCAAAAAAGATTATAATAAAATGGCATAAATTATTACCAGTTAATTGTAATGTGTGTTAAAAATTAATACTTTAAAGTTTATGATTCGCGTAAGCTGGTTTATGATTAAAGCAATACTTCAGTTATTTGATTTAAAAGACAGACAAAGACTAAAAAGTAGAAAATAATTATCATTAAAAAAGTTTAAAAAAACCCACGTTTTCTGATTGAACTAAAAAGTAGAAAATAAATGCTATACATCACAATAATGCAAGCGATCACTCTACTATAAGCGATGAAAAAGGTGGGGCGCCATGATTTTCTTACAGTTTCTAATACTGTTGACTCTCTACAAGCTCCCTAATAAAAGTCAATAGTATTATCTAATCAATAGTAATAGGCCTATAACTTTTACATCTTATATTAACAATGACCGATAAAAAACTTTTACTTCGGCATAAAACCAACATTTCCATCCATCAAAATGGTTTGGCATTACTTACTTACTAGGTTCCTGTACTTATTCTCTTTTTTTAAAGCCGAAATTTCGTTCCGAAAGTAGCGGTTCGGTACTGCGCGGTTTCCATCGATTTTCGCTATCATCGTTAGGTCGCTTTCAGTATCGAGTATTGTAAACAGCTACTTCTATCAATGAAACATTTAAATGATAAAATTCAACGCATATGATAGTATCGAATATATTTAATTTTTCGATTCTGATGGCGAATTTTTTCAAGTACGCATGAAAAAGTCCGGATAAAGTTTGGATCGCAAGATGGCGTCGAGTCGAAAAGCCTACTACTAGATCTACTAGATCTAGATCTACATCTAACAACCCAACACACCTATTTTATGGATGAGTCTATTATCGGACATCAGTATCTAAAATCATCCTGAATGAATATTACCGTGCAAGCGCCAGATAATAAAATAACAGCTTAATGGATAAGTTTTTCTGAATTACGCAATCTCAACATCATCTGAAAAACATCAGCCATCTTTATTTTAAAATGGGCTGTATTTTTCAGAAAACGCCTGTAGGTGGCGCCTCAAAGAATGGTCAATATTGCTACGCAGAGTAGCCACCCTTGACACTAGGTGGCGACACGCACACCAAGGTTAAACCATTTGTAAACAAACATGTATGCTGATATTTAAATACATAAATAGTATTGTACTATTTACTGGATAGCTTTTCTAGTTATTGTACTCCCATTTTAATTATATAATAATAAAAGTGTATAAGTCTGAAAAATGGCAGCATATGTCGCTGTACCAAAGTGTAGGGGAAAAGGTGGACACCTATTCCCCAAAAATAAAGAACTTCGTTCCAGATGGATCGCATCTATCTAGGCCTTCCTATTTCATTTACTATTTATTAATGGCTATTATTAACAGTTTAAAAGCTATTAAAAATTAATTCTCTCTAATACTAATTCAGTCATTCTAATCTAATACAAATAGTATAGGGCCTATGTGATATATATATATATATATATATATATATATATATATATATATATATATTTTTTTTTTTTTTTATATATATATGTCAGAATCGTAGGCCTTGAACTAAGTGTTGCCTGTACTCTTAGTCTAATCACCAATCGTAGTCTTACATCTCTATCTAGACTACTATTACCACGCTACTCAATAATCTATAGGCCTATACTCTCAAATAAATATTACCATTTTATAGGCCCTGGGCCTATTTATTTTAAATTTAATAATAGGTCTTTAATTTTAGATTAGGCATAAATTCTGGTAATTTATTAAGTAGGTCAAATTATCTGATTAGGCCTACTGTATTATTCATTATAATCATTCATTATAATCTAGGTCCGCCATTCGATTTCTATTACTTTAGACCTGGCATAATAATAATAACAACACTAATAATTAAGAACGAAGAAGAAGAGAGAAGTAAAAGAGACCTGGCATAAATTTAAAATTACTATTTCTAAATTGAATTAACCATTGCCAGAAAAACTGCTTATATTAATTCTATGATAAAATATTTATTTCAGGCAATCCCAGAATTCTTAAATGTCTGAAAAAGATGGCAGTGCCGTCTATTTTTGAATGGACAATATCCCCCAAGACACTTGAAGTGGCTAGAAAAAGAAGGCTATTAAAACGAAGAGAAAGGACAGAAACTGCGGAACCCCACAAAGAGGACAACATTACTGTGGTGAAAAGTGTCTTGGGCGAAGGATCAACAGTTGAAGACCCAGGAACATCAGAAATGGTCGTGTGCAACCTAGACATTGGGGCTGAAGAAATTGTTGGTGAGTTCTGTGAAGACCCAGGTCCAGAAGTAATAGCTATTGGGTGCAGTAATACCACAGAAGAGTAGACAAATGTATTAGAATCAGTTAAACAACGTTATCTTTCATTTGAAAGGATAAAGGACAAGGACAAACTTGTCAATCACTACACTGGCTTGGACAGTACAGCGACTATTTTTTACTGTGTTTTGGTCATTAGGGAGAGGGGTTGATAAATTAAATTACATTTATACACAGTCTTGTGAATGTCTTTGTACACATGACCAATTTTTATTAATGTTAATTGGATTAAGGCACCATTACCCTGTAATTGAACTTGCTAGAATGTTTGATATTTCCAGTTATACTGTTCAAAATATATTTATTACATGGATTAATTTTTGTGCTGTTCAGTGGGGGGAAATAAATATGTGGCTTAAAAGGAGTTCATTTCAAGCAAAAGGGTTCATGTTGAAAGGATTATTGGTATGGCAAAAGTTTACAAAATTTGTAAACAGCCTTTAAATTCAACAGAAAGTAGACTAGCTACTCAAATACTTAAGGTATGTTTTTTTATGTAACTTCAGGAAGAATATTGTATCTCACAATGCTTCAATTTGTATTTTGTAAAGAACTGCTGTATTATATTAATGAACTTTTTATTGTATGTATTGACTCAATTTGTTTCTTTTCAAAATAACTTATGTATCAATGACATTGGTCGTTTTAGGTGCTGTTACTTGTGAAACATTTATCTATTTAATTAAACATCACAACAAAACAAGTGCAGATAAAAATATTAAAATGTACCTCTATTTTGTGTACATCAAATTCAATTAAATTATGTCATCTATATATATCTATATACATAAACAGCAATGTATGTGTGTGTGTGTCTGTCTGTCTGTGTGTCTTTTATGCATTACCACACCTCTTATCACAGCGCCGTGAAACTTTGGGAAGTTGTTGAGAATATTCCTGGGGAGGTTTCTGCGAAAAAAAAAATTTCAAATTCGCAGGGGTGGCGCCCCGGCAGGGCGCGATTTGTTTTTCTCTATATACGGTATATAAAAATAAGTCTATTTTGATTTCACACGGTTCACCCGATAGCCATGAGACTTTTGGGAGTTCATTATAAAACTCTAGGGAAGGGTTCTGTAAAAAAAAATATTTTTAATTTCGCAAGGGCGGCGCCACGGGATGGTCCGATTTTTCTCTATATGCGGTATATAAAAATAATAAAAGTGAATTTCAGTGACACCGTTCATCCGATAGTCATGAAACTTTGGGGAGTTCATTATAAAACTCTAGGGAAGGGTTCTGTAAAAAAAAAATTTAATTTCGCAAGGGCGGCGCCACGGTAGGGTGCGATTTTTCTCTATATACGGTATATTTTTTAAAAAGTCGATTTTGGTGAGACACCGTTATCCGATAGCCATGAGACTTTGGGGGAGTTGATTACAACAATTCAGGGAAGGGTTCTGTAAAAAAAAAATCCTTTTTAATTTCGCAGTGGCGGCGCCACGGTAGGCTGTAATTTTTCTCTATATACGGTTTATAAAAATAAAAGTCTATTCTGTTTCACATCGTTCATCCGTGTACCATGAAACTTTGGGGAGAAGATTAGATCATTCAATGGTAGGGTTCTGCAAAAAAATATTGTTTAATGTTGCAAGGGCGGCGCCCCCAGGGGGGGGGGCGATTTTTTTTCTCTATACACGGTATATAAAAAATAAAACTCTGATGCTGTTCATCCGAGTGCCATGAAACTTTTGGAAGTAGATGAGAATACTTCCGAGAATATTTCTGCGTAAAAGAAAACTAAAGTTTCTTATGGGCGGCGCCATGTAGGGTACAATTTTTGTTAATACACGGTTTGGCGCCCAGAGGTTTAGAGCGACTATGTTGGCACTTGGCATCCGTTAATCGAGCGTCCTGCGTAGCGAGTAAGGGGTACTATTATATTCAGTGTTAAAACTACAATAGGCTTCTAAAAAATAACTTTGTAACGCAAGTAAATCTTGTACAGTTTCGTCACCTTGCGAAAGATAAAAAAACAAGTTAATTAAAAAAGTCTAGTGACATTTATGCGCAATTTCCTTATGTTATCTAAAAATAGCTCTGACGTATAATGCTGGGGTGCGTTCAAGCTAGAAGAACGATCTTTTTTAGGTGTTTATGTAATTTTAAAATTTGTGACCGAACGAGAGGATATTTTTGAAAACTTTCTTCGGCAATATTGTTCTAAATTATGGCAGGAATCGATTGGTACATGTTTCAAGTCGCTAAGTGGTCTGGTTGCCGAGATATGGGCCAAAAACTGCATTTTTCGAGGTTTTTTGGCTTTTCTGGGAAATACATGAAAGAAACCCGGAATTTTTACGGCCTATGCTCATTCTCGTAACTTGCTTAACATAATTGCTTTTGGAACTAGTCATCGATATTGCTTCGTTGAGGAGGAGATACGACTTAAAGCCCGGACACACATTCATCCATACATTCATTCATTCATTCATCCATCCATTCCCAGAAATGACGAGTTAATAAACGCAATTCTCCAGAATGGATATTGCGCTAAAAAATTGTGTCCTTTCAAAACACTAGTTTTAATGCCCCAAAATTCCTCAAAGTTAAGTGTTTTTAACGGACACAAATTTTGAAAATTCATAAAAAACTAGTTTAAAGATATGGGGTCATCCATAAATGACGTCACGCTTTTTTTGACGATTTTTACCTCCCCCCCTCCCCTCCGTCACACTTCGTCACAAAAAGCCAGACCCCACCCCCTAAAATGACGTCACACCTCAACCTACAACCCCCCCTCAAAATTGCAGTTGAATTTTTTTAAAACATTGATATTTTTCCAAAATCTTGTCTAAACTATTGCAATTTATTAAAACAGTTATCTAAAACGCGAAATAACGTCTAAAATTCGTTTTCTAACATTGCTTTTTTATAATGCAAAAATGTGACGTCGCAACATCTGACCCCCCCTCCCCCCTCCCCCTCATCACACATCGTCACATTTTTGATCGCTTATAGTAGAGTGATCGCTTGCATTATTGTGATGTATAGCATTTATTATCTACTTTTTAGTTCAATCAGAAAACGTGGGTTTTTTAAAACTTTTTAAATGATTATTATTTTCTACTTTTTAGTCTTTGTCTGTTTGTTTGCATTAAAATCTTGCTATCGATTTTATCTTTTCACTTTTTTGTTGGGTAAACGAAGACAACTCGTAAAAAGACAACTCGTAAAAAACACGTTGTGTGAATACGTTACTGACTAGAACACATAGATTTGAACCCGTGTAGAGTGGGATAGCAATCGTGTGCCCAACCACTCGACCATATCGTCTCCCCCAAACTGGCCTACCTCCTGTAAGTTTAAACTCGGTTCAAAGTAAATTATCTGCCCCTAAGCCTGTGGCAACGTGGGATCGTTCGCTTCACTGCGCGCGAGGTACGCGTCGCTGGTTTTTTTTCTAATGGCTCGCAGAGGAGAATTATATATATAGATTATATAGCGGTCTAAAATTCTCAATAAAATGTTTCCATTGATCAATTTAGTAATAATAACAATTGCATATTCTATGGTCATCCAAAAGAAAGCTTCCCTGAAAATTTCAGCGCGCTAGCTAACTGGGAAGTGCCAGAAATTTCCATCGCAAGATTAGATTGGAAAGACAAACAAATAAACAAACAGAGAAAGCAAGTTAAAGAAAACGTGGGAAAAATGGATAACAAATATTGTCTATGTCCTGAGTTACCATCCCTCGTAATTTGATATTAGAATATTCAAGAAAGTTTAGGGGAGATCACTACCGGTTTATTTTTTTAATTAACAAAAACTGAAATCATCATTTAGAAACAGAGTTAAGGGCATGTTTACAAGCTTTTATTTGACTTGATTGCTCGTGCTTTTTGTGTCATGTCTGGGTCAGAGTTTCTTTCAGGCATCTCTTCTGCGGGGGGTGTGGGGTGGGTGGGGGGGGGGGGGAGGGGGAATAAAATGGATTTATATAGAAAACATACTTTTCCAGTGTCCGCTTCCCACCCCCCACCCCCCCACTCGGATAGTAAAGGTATGTTTTCTATTAAAATCCATTAATTCCCTCTTCCAGGTGAAAAGAAGTCTGTAAGAAACACTGGTCTGGGTGAAAACTTTGCGAACAAAATTACACCCGAACCGATGTGTTTTAAACTTGAATGTCACTTAGGTTAAGATCTGATAATGCAATGTACCACGAGCTTTGACATAATTAGAGATGTTTCGTTCCTGTTTAAAATTAATTAAACATTCCTATGGCCTACAGTGCACACTTGCTTATAATTTAAGACCTATATATAATAAATATAGGTATTCTTTTAAAAAAAGAAATACGTAAATAGTAACAAAATATATGCGTGCACTAAACAGATGTAAATCTAGATCTGAAACTACATAATGATAAAAAAATTATTAGCTTTAAACATATAATTGCACCATATTTACACAACTGCTCGTTATATAACTATACGTACACCCTTCTCCCAAGCATAATATACAGCAGCCCATGCTTTATTTTATATAATCTAGTTGGTTTATATAAAATGTGGTGCATTAATTATCTATATATATTTGGGGTGGTGTATGGTCGGGGTTAGGGGAAAGGGGGGGGGGGTTAGTGTTTTAAAGCAAATATTTTCAGTGGCAGCATTGGTACTGTCGAATTCACATGTTATGAATTACTGAAAAGTAGAAAATAAAACAACTAAATAGCGGCGTATGATACGCTCGTTATGTTTAAAGCTGAATTTGGAATTCTCCGAGCAAGTTTAAACTTAGAAATCTTTTTTTTTTAATTTTTTAAATAAAATATAATTAGTAAAAGGAAAAGAAGAAAAATCTGTAAGGGATTCTAAGTGATGTCGTACTTCTAGCTTGAGGGGTGGGCCGGTGGGGAAATCCTAATTTGAAGTTGACGATTTGTAAAACATTACACATAAAATATCTGTTGGTGTTGTGTTAGCTTAAGGGTTAGGTTACTGATGGTTTTGATTATAAGTATTGTTTAGTAAATTTTAAGTATGGGCTGGTTTTACTTTTAACGTTGTATAAGGGGGTCGTCCATAAATGACGTCACAGTCGAAGGGTGTTATGAGGCAGTTGTAGGTTAGATAGAAATAGGTTATAATGATCTAGAATTAGGGGAGAGTGCGTGTTTAAGTTAAGTTTACCCTAGAGTAATGTTAATCCCGGTGTGTTTATATATTATTATCCCAAGGCGGTCAAGGTCGAATGCGGTATAAAAGCTGGAGTGAATGGTTGTAAAGAGTTAGTTGGTAGCGGTTAGGGCGAGGGCTACTCTGTTATGTGAAGAATTAAGTCCAAATAAAAGTATTGAAGTTAACAACGAATCGTTTCCTGAGTTGAACTAAACCCGGACGCAACAGAGGGGGATCCGTAATTTTGTGACGGTGTGTGATGAGGGGGAGGGGGTTCAGATGGTTTGACGTGACTATAAAAAAGCAATTGTAGAAAACGAGTTTTAGCCGTTATTTCGCGTTTTAGAAAACGGTTTAAATAAATTGTAATAGGAATTGATCAAAATGCTCTATGTTAAAAGAGTTCAAGTCTAAACATTGTTGTTATCTTTGTCCATGTGTCTGTCTTTTTCCTGTCGCCATGTTGAGAGAAGATGAAGATTAAAGCTTTGAAAGTAGTAAAAATTTAAATAAAGTGCTTTGGTCTAAGACTCAATACCATAGCTAGATCGGGTGTCATCCAAATAACGATGTGTATCTTTAGTCTGTTAATAATACAGTTGGAACTTGCATAATATTATTTTTGTTTCATCACAAATGCATTTAGTGCATCTCTACATCTGACCAGGTCAAAAAACATAAGAACTATAATTTATATACCCTATGGGTTGCTAGGTTTGAAGAAAAATATGTACTACTTTGCTTTTACCTTAGCACTTTGAAACCATTTATAATTCATTAAATGTGTGATCAATATGATTAAGCTTCTTTTAAGTATATTAAATAGACTCTAGTTCTTTTTCATTTAACTTTTTTTGAAAATAAATATCAATACGTTTTAACAATATTTAAACAGTATTTAACTACAGGCCGTAAACTGACGCATTTGAATTGTCTTAGTCAACAGACCTGTTTTATTTTCCGGCCCAAAACCCTTGTTGAGTGTTCATTTGGCCTGGTTGTAATAAATTGTTTTATTCTGTAAACTAACCTCAAAGAGTGTAGCCTAGTCATCGGACTTTCATGCTATTATAAAGCAAACTTAGTGTTGTTATGGTAATGGTATAAACTTATATAATAGTAATAGTCTGGATTGTGCACTTTTTGTAGTCTGTTTATAGAAATTTTTTACAAAACCATCATTTTTTTGAGAAAACAACTCAAGACTGCAGGATAGTCATTCATTTATTTTATTTTACTTCTTGTTGAAAAAAAAAATTGTAAAATAAGCGTTTGAAATTTGAAATGTTTCCCTAACAAGCATAAGTTGTCTGACACTGACCTTCACATACCTGGCACGTACAGGCTTTGGAGCATCACAAGAGAGAAAAACATACCCCAGCATTCAAAACACATTGGTCTCATTGGAATTTATACATACAGGAAGTATTGATAGAAATACAATAACAATAAAAAAAAACAATTTAGCTATTTTAAAAACTTTTCATGTTATAATTTCTTATGAATCACTACATTAGAAATTTCATTAGGCTCGACAATGTTTGTTTTTTAAATAGTAAACAATACAAAATTAAATAATGATTAACCAATAATCACGGTATGTTGAAACTAAGATACCAAAATGTAACAATTGCAGCTTAAGTCTTTCTTTTCTTCAAATTGATAATTTTTATGCTGTTTTAAAAAATTTAAATGTTTATTCATAAAATTGTTATGTGTGGTTAATATCTAAATTCTATAGCAATTATATGAATATGTGAAGATAATTATGTTGTACTGTTTTTAAACACATTGCATGTAGAGAGGTGTCTGTGGTTTGGCATCAAGTTCATTTGAGAAGGAGTGCAGAATGATAAAATCTATAGGCCTATACAACATGTTACAAATGCATTTAATTTAATTGAATAAAAAAACATTCATCTAGCAAAAGTAAGGAAGTGACCATAAGACTTAGCAATGGTTGGAGCATCTTTAAACTTGAGGTTAGTTCCATAAGACATATAAATGATGGGAGGAAGGGATCCTAAATGGGATGAATAAAATAATGTCAAACAATGCAAGTAGAAGTTTTAAATTTATTTTTAATTTATCCAGGTACTAAATTACCATTTAAATTTCAATCTCAATTCAATTTACAATAAAATCTGCATTAGTGATGACAATACATACATTTCAAGGACAAATATAGGAAAAAAAATATTTTTGGGGCAGTAAGTTTTTACATATGGTCTGTATGAGTTATACATTGCAGACAGTAGAGTCTGATTATATGATTTAAGATTCTATACCTCTCAATATAATGATTAAGGTCATTTAGCAAAAGATGAAAAAGTGTTTACAAAAAAAGATTGTCTGCTCAGAAGTTTTGATGTCACTGTACCTGTTGGCCAGATGCCACTGTGACTGCTGGCCTGATGTCATTGTACTTGTCTAATGCAGGTTGTTTTACCTGTCAACCTGATATTCTGTCATGTTCCTGTATGTCTGACGGAGCTGTTTGTGAATAGTGTAAATGTGTTAAGTTATGAATTAGGATTGTGTAACAGTAGGGCCTACATTTATTGTAAACATCTAGTAAATGTAAATAAATGAATTGAACTTTGTGTTTTATTTTAGTTAGCTTCTGTTATTGTTAATAATGTAAACAAAACCATGCGGGTATAAAAATAAAACCCTGGGTTTCTAAAAGTTATAGCTTACTTCTCCTATCATACACATTTACAGATAACACCCATAAAAAGTAGGCTACATAAAGAAAAAAATTGTACACATGCAGCTGACATTATAGAATGCTATTTCCTTTTACAGTCAGAATACAATTTCTTTTTAGAGTATGTATAATAATTGACATGGTATACTCTTTGACAAAAGAACCTTTTCATAATACAAATATTAAAATTAATAAACTATGGCCCACTATTCGATGACCCTAGTTAAAGTTATGTGAAGAAAAAATTATAACAAGATATTCAATAATAATTTGCTCTAGAATTAATTATTGATGTTAAAAATGATATTAAATTGGTTTTTAGTCATGATGAATTTCCTGGATTACCTTTAGAATGAATTTTTATGAGTATTTAAATTAGATAATTGACAAAATCTTTTGTGACAAACATAAACATTCATGTGGCTTATCTCCTGAATGAACTTTGAGAAAATCTCTGACAAATACCAGATTAATGTGGCCTGTCTCTTGAATGACTTTTTCAAGTGCACTTAAATAAGAGCTTTAAGAAAATCTTGTATACATACATATGGCTTATAACCTGTAAAAACACAAAAATCATAACACATTATACTTCCGAGTCAACTTTTTGTGATAAATATCACTATCATGTGGTCTCTCTCTTTAATGAATTTTTTTTGTGTGAAGATAAACAAGAAATTTGAGAAAACCTTGGATGTCAAAGGTCACATTCACGTTGTCTTTCTCCTGAATGAACCTTTTTATGTGATTTTAAATTAGAATTTGTAGAAAACCTTTTATGACAAACATCACATTCATGTGGCCTTTCTCCTGAATGAACCTTTTTATGTGATTTTAAATGAGTACTTTGAGAAAACCTTTTATGACAAACATCACATTCATGTGACTTACCTCCTGAATGAACCTTTTTATGTTTTCTTAAATTAGTACTTTGAGAAAACCTTTTATGACAAACATCGCATTCATATGGCCTTTCTCCAGAATGAACATTTTTATGACTTAATAAATGAGTAATTTGTGAAAACTTTTTATGACAAACATCACATTCATGTGGCCTTTCTCCTGAATGAATTTTTTTATGTGTTCTTAAATTAGAATCTTGAGAAAACTTTTTATGACAAACTTCACATTCATGTGGCCTTTCTCCTGAATGAACCTTTTTGTGTGTTCTTAAATAAGTACTTTTAGAAAACCTTTTATGACATACATCACATTCATGTGGCCTTTCTTCTGAATGAACCTTTTTATGTATTCTTAAATAAGTACTTTGAGAAAACCTTTTATGACAAACATCACATTCATATGGCCTTTCTCCTGAATGAACCTTTTTATGTTTTCTTAAATTAGTACTTTGAGAAAACCTTTTATGACAAACATCACATTCATGTGGCCTTTCTCTTGAATGAATCTTTTTATGTGCTCTTAAATTAGAATTTGTAGAAAACCTTTTATGACAAACATCACATTCATGTGGCCTTTCTCCTGAATGAACCTTTTTATGGGTTTTCAAAGTAGAACTTTGAGAAAACCTTTCATGACAAACATCACATTCATGTGGCCTTTCTCCTGAATGAATTTTTTTATGTGCTCTTAAATTAGATTTTAGAGAAAACCTTTTATGACAAACATCACATTCATATGGCTTTACTCCTGTATGCATTTTTTTGTGATCACTTAAGCCAGAACTTCGAGTAAACCTTTTATGACAAACATCGCATTCATGTGGCCTTTCTCCAGAATGAACATTTTTGTGAGTTGATAAATTTATCTTCTCACTGTCTTGACCTGTTTTATGTTTTTTAAAGTTAGAACTTTGATAAAACCATTTCTGTTTGTGGCTAGAAACAATTTGATATCTTTTGTCTCTAGAAAACTGGAGATTTTCTTCAACTTGAAGTTCAAGCCTTTTTTGTGTTTTATCCTCAAAAAAAATAAATCCTGTCAATAATTCTGGTTTTGAATCTTTACCCTCTGATAAAGTTGTGACTTCTGATTTGTTATCTTCAGATGTTGATAATGTTGATACAGCAGGCTTTTTATCTTTACAAATTAAAAACTCAGTTGTAACACCAGGTTTAACATCTTGCAAGCTTATAAACGTTTTGTTGGGTGTAAATTTATCAAGAGATGAAAAACTTGAAAATTCTGTTTCTGTGTCATTAGAAGAAGAAAATTCTGTTGTAGTATATGGTTTAACATCTTGAGAAGATGTGAATGTCAAGTTGGGTTTTGCATCAACCATAGATGAAAATGTTGTAAATTCTGTTTTTATGTCTTGAGAAGATGAAAATATTGTTGATAGATCTGGTTTCAAATCTTCTGTTAATTTGTGTGACTGTTCATCTACAATAGACAACATTGCAGCTAAATGCTCTGTTTCCTCTTCCATTCTTGACTGCTTTTTTATAAATCAACTGATGATTAAAAATGTTATAAATGTTAAATTGAAAAGTGGTGATTATAAAGTCAGAATAAAGTATTATTATAAAAATGGCAAAATTAATGGCAGAAGGTCTGTTAATCTTTTCTCTCAGTCTGATGTGATCTAAAATAGATTGCCAGTAATGCCAAGGTCATAAGATTAGGACTGCATATTAATATTTTCTAAATATTCTTTAAAAAAAACACAAATTTGTAATCCAGTACTGCTTATTTTGGCTAACGATTGAGGAATTACCAAATGTGCTTAGATCCTCTTACATCCAGTTGAGGTTAAATATATATTGTCACTTGGTTGAGAGAAATAAGAACAGTGTTTATTTCTTTGAAAGGATGAGAGAAGATTTTGCATATTTCTTCGAACATAAGACTTAAATCGAAGATGAAAAACAATGACATTTTTAATGTCAAAAGATACTTATTTCATTAATTAAGCTAAAATTCTTAATATTTGTATTGAAAAAAAAAAAAAATTTTCTTAGACTATTTCTAGCCCTGACCTTTTAACATAGCCTTAACCCAAACCTTGACCCTAAACTTAATTAAGATATAATGAATTAAAAAAATAAAATATTAATGTCATTAGCACTAATAAATAAATAAACTCAATTAAAATAAGTTTTAATTGCAAAACCCATACTTGATATTTCTTCACACTAGTGATTCTACCATGCAGCACTCAAAATAATTAGTAAAAAAAATAATAAAATATTAAATTAAACAAACTTCTCTTGAAAATTCAAAAATATACACTTCAATTAAAAAATTCTAAAAATATGTAAGCCTACAAATAGAAGCAAAATATAACCACAAGATATGAGAGGATATATGAATGATGCATTTTCACTATTGTTCGTGGCTATAAAAAAAGTATTTACATATAATACATTATTCATGTATCTAAAAAAAATATTAATAATTCCTAAATATATACTTGCATGGTCAACAGTCATGTAATCTGTTTGTCTTTTTTTGTGCTTTATAACAAAGCTTTTTAGGTGCAAAAAACTATTGAGCAAAAAAAAATTACATATCTTCTCATTAGTTCCCCATTTATTGACCATAGATAATTCTTCTAGACCTGTCAGCGTTGTTTATATTTACAGCCTCTAGATCTATTCTTGGTCTAGTAAGTTACAAACTGAGGCTTGACCACGTGACACAAAGGAAAGTTCATTAAATTATAATATAAAAACAAATTAAAACAAAAAATTCAATTTAAATAAGTCTAGGTCTATAAATCTAGATATTACGAGATAATAGTTTATTAATAGTAAATTCAGATCTAATTGAATGAAGGGGGAATTTATATAGGCCTACCAGTGTCCGATAATACAATTTTCTTTAACAGGGGGTGTTAGGTTACTGGTAGTAGGCATTTTGATGAAAATTTCAAATGATTTGTTTTTTTTTATAAAAAATGTAACAATAGTAGCTAGCACACTAGTAAACTAAGCCAATTTAGCAATATTTTAACTTTTTGTGCAAAGTCATTATTACTGAAAAAAATTCCAGTCAGGTCAGCCTGTGTCACCCTCCACTGAACTTGACTGAAAAATAAAATACTTGACCTGTGACCTTCATTAAAACAGAATTTACTGATGTTTTTTTTTTAATTAGTATTAAAAATGTGCTTCATCTTACCCAAATAAGTAATAAAAATTAGAACATTTATTTTAATTACTATTGTTAATTTAGATAAACATTTAATAAATCACGAGTTTTTTAAGGGGGTATGGCACATTGCAATTGGAACTTTATATTTCTGTGTTTTATGACTATATTTATTATTTATACACAATTAGCATGCTATGCTTTTGAAAATTGATAAAGGGGAAGTAAACCAAGTTACAAAATATGCAACCTAACTAATAATTCATAATTTTATTTTTAAAAAAATAATAAAAACAATCATCAATGAAGAAAGCGTAAACATTCAATTTTTAGGTATGATAAAAAACAGACATAAATCTAGATATAAATCAGACATAAATCTATCTTGCGCAGCACACATTTTCCGGCGCCTTGTTTTCACCAAAAAAGATTATAATAAAATGGCATAAATTATTACCAGTTAATTGTAATGTGTGTTAAATTAATACTTTAAAGTTTATGATTCGCGTAAGCTGGTTTATGATTAAAGCAATACTTCAGTTATTTGATTTAAAAGACAGACAAAGACTAAAAAGTAGAAAATAATTATCATTAAAAAAGTTTAAAAAAACCCACGTTTTCTGATTGAACTAAAAAGTAGAAAATAAATGCTATACATCACAATAATGCAAGCGATCACTCTACTATAAGCGATGAAAAAGGTGGGGCGCCGTGATTTTCTTACAGTTTCTAATACTGTTGACTCTCTACAAGCTCCCTAATAAAAGTCAATAGTATTATCTAATCAATAGTAATATAGCTTTTACATCTTATATTAACAATGACCGATAAAAAACTTTTACTTCGGCGCCCCACGTTTTTCATCGCTTATAGTGAGGTAGATTATGAATACAACGGAGACAGAAGCCATCGACATGTAAACAGCTTTATTTGTTAACCGGAAAGGACGGAAGTAAATGCACAAGGGACATCACTCAAGATAACAATATAAATATAATACTAATACAGAAGAGTGAGTTCCCTTGACCTCACAATTATCTCAATCTATTAATCCCTTTACCCTTAGAACACAATAACACATCTCTCAATAGAACAATTGATAGTATCCTAAAATCACCAATTATATTGTAACATGAACACTATGGTAGATTACATCCTTACAAACAATGCACAATATGCTACAACATAATCAAGATACAAAACAATGATGTCAAAGTCCTTTTGACCTTTAAAATCATAGGTCTAACTTATTTGGGACCTTGATTGTCCTGCTTGACCTTCTCAGTGGCTTTTGATTTGGTGACTCAATATTCTGACCATCTGGATTCTCTATCTCAGGAGGTCTAGGATTTAAATCATTAACTCCAGAATTTACATTTTCTGACTCCAGACAACTTGGTTCACTCATATCAACAGAACTTGGTTGTGGAACAAACTGAGTTGGTGTGAACTGTTCAGATTTGGTGGGATTGACAGATTCACACTTATTATCTGCACAAGTTATTTTTAACTTTATAAGGCACAGGTCCTATACATTGAACAATTTGACCTGGTATCCATTTTTCCCTTCTCCCATAATTTCTCAGATACACATTATCATTAACACCAAATTCTCTTTCAATGCATGAGTTGTCATGATTTAATGGAACTATTTTTGAATTGGCATCTGAAAGTATTAAATGGCAAAAAATCTTTTTTTTTTCTTTTGATGTTACCCTTTTAGTTTCTGTAAGTGCTAATGATGTTAGCAAAGTTGTTTGATGATCACATTCCTTCTTACTAATGTATTTTCTTTAAAACATTTGAAATTGCCATATCACCATAATCATTTATTAAGTTACAAGTACTTTGTTTAGGCAACTCTGACTGATAATGGACTGCATCTTCTCCATCTTTTATATTATCTTCACAAAGGTTTTTATTTCTTATTTTATATGGCCTTAAGTCATCATTCACAGACTCTTCAGGCCAACCATTCTTACTGTACTCATATATTTTTATTAAGCACTCATCTTTTTGTGTTTCTCTTTTACTATCATTCACATTTATATTGGAGTTATCCATGATGGTGAAGAGAACAAATACATCTTCTGGTACATAGCTCAGGCTTTGGTTTTTTAAAAGTAATCTACTAAGACTATCTGCACTATTCTCAGATCCAGGTTTGTATTTCAATTCATAATTGTATGCAGTTAGTGTGATAGCCCATCTTTGAATTCTTGGT